AACAGTTTGTCACAGCCCCTCGTTTGTTGTCCTCTTCTCTCTCTCTGCCTACGGTTTACCGGGCAGTTCTGTTTGTGACGATATATATATATTTAATATGTGACGATAGATATATATTTATATTTTTCCCCTCTTTTTCTTTTTTTCCAAGTCCCAAGCCTCTCTACTCCGCTCTCTCTCCTACCTTCCTTTCTCTCTTTTTCTTATGTTATTGGGGGACCTTGCGGCATCGTCATTGAACTGACTGTGCAGTATCGTCATTGAATCGTTGGTACCGCAAGGCCAAAAAAAAAAAAACAATAAAAAAATTCAGAGCTATTTTAATAATTTTATCATTCATCTGATTCCACTAGCAAGACTTGAACTAATCTTTTATTTTTTTTATTTATGTTTTTGTTTTTGAAGTGTACTAGCGTACCATTCAGCCACATATGAGAAGGCGACTGGGTACATGACCCACAACTATTCGAGGTGGTGCTTAATGTTTCTTGCCACCTTCTATGTGAAGATGCACTTCCATGCCAAAAAGCCAAATTTTGAAATTAGTTCAAATTACGGTATATATTTATTAAATAAGCAAGCAAGTTCTAACATCACATCCTTCGACAAAACTTGTTGTGTTTCATGTTTCATCTGTAATGCACCGACGACGCCTTGTCTATCTATCTATCTATCTATCTATCTATATATATATCTATCTATATACTCTTACTAAAGTGTTAAGTCGGGTCTGGCTTGACGCCCCCGCGAGGCCCGACTTACAATGTTGGGAAAGCACTTGGCACGGGGGAGGCGGGCCCAGTGGAAACTGCTACTCGCGAGGCAGGACGAGCGCTATTTCCCTGCGCTAATCGCGAGCGCTAAGCGTCGCTTCGACGGCGCTTACCGCTTAAGCACGATTAGGGTAGGAAACTAGCGTGGAACCGGCTCCTAGCGTGGAACCGGCTCCGCCACTGTAGCGATGGCAGAGGCTTGTGTACGGAAGACTGGCGCTCCCATCGGGTATGCGAAGGAGAAGGAACGAAGGGGAGGGAAGGAGGGAGGAGGTAGAAGGGAGTATTGAGGGGAGGTGACGTGCGTCAACGAGAATCACAAGGGTTGTCCTTGGGGTTCTAGGGTCGAAGCAGACAAAGAGGGTTCAGGGTGGGACACGGGAAGGAGGCAGAGATGAAGGAATATGATGTGTCCACCCGGGAGATCCCGTTTACTCCAGCGGCTGAACAACGGTGAAGCTACTTCGACCGATAACCAAGTTGGGTAATATTCCTTCTCGCGAGTGGGGGTTGGTTTTCCCGTCTATCCCATGTTTATTGAGGCTATATAACGATAAAACGTAGAGGTTCTTAATTTAGGTTTTGTTTATCTGTACTTGGTTTTCTTGCTTTTGTTCTCGTGACCATGGGGGAACCCGAAGGTTCTGTTAGCAAGCAGCCGATGTCTACCGAGGAGAAAAACAGAATTAAGGGTATTTTGGCAGACTGCTACAATGAAGGTCTTCTCCCAGATAGGCTTACGTCAAAGAATATCGAAATTGGAGCTGACTATGTCAAAGTAGTAGTTGACCCCGCCCTGTACTCGGTGCAGGAGGAATGGCTTCACGAGAGTGCGGTGTCTGTGTTTTTTGGGAACGACTCCTCGTCCCTGATGGTCAAAGTCAAAATTCGACTTATTCGAATTTATGAAAACGGTTGGGCAAAAAGTGGAGTAATAAATGCTCCCCTGAAGAGGGGCGTTTTTCACAATGAAGGGTACAACTTAGTCACGTATGTGGCTTCGTCACCTCAGGTTGCACAATGGATGCTACGGAAAAAGGAGGACAAAATCAGCCTCGATGGCAAAACCTGTACGATCTCCTTTCGTCCGTGGATGTCGGAAAATGAACTGTACGAATGGAGAGAGGCTCATAGGTATAAATTCTTCTGGATACGTTGTATGTATGTGCCAGTGGCTGCCTTGCCTTATGTTGCAACAGCAGTCAGGGAAGCGTTCGGGTCAATTTTAAAACACTACGACACGTACACAGAAGTTACATCCCCAGAACCAGAAGCACGTACCCGTTACAAGCCTTATCTAATTATAGACATGGAAAACGGAGGCTACGTAGAGATCGAGGTCATGCACGCCCGGACGCCGTGGTGCCGGGTGTGCAGGCAGTATTTTCACTCCGAAACTGACGATGTCTGTCCGGCCAAACCTCAATCGAAAGAGGCAGCCAAAACAAAAGGGAAGGGGGCCCAAGTCCCCCAACCCGACGGCCTGGAGCCACTTTCAGAAGGGGGGAAAGTAGTCAAGAAAGGTGGTCCCTCAGCTGGGAATCTTGACTTGGGATCAACGAAGGAAAAAGGGGAAACCAGATCGGGAGAAGACGGGCGGGACTAGTCCCCTCCCAGACGAGGAGATGAAGGAGGCAGAGGAGGAGGTCGGAGGGAAGGATGTTGGCTCAGAAGCCCAGCCCGGGGAGGGTAGGGAAATACTACAGGAAGGGATAGGAGGAGGGTTACCGTCCGCTACCCCTTATAAAGATGCTCTTTGCTCTCCCCACGTCATCGCGAAAAAGAAGAAGAACCCCAAAACGAAGAAGAGATTGGAAGCCAAGGCTGTCCCAACGAAGGCATGGAGAATGAATTCGAAAGGCAAAGCCAAACCGTTACAGGGAAAGAAAACCCCTAAGAATCAGTTCGCAGAAAAGGAGGAAGCTTCTGCAAACGCGAACTGCAAAGAGCAGTCTACAGGGAAGGGGATAGAGATGGTTGTCATGAGAGGAGAAGGGAGGGAAACGGGACAAGGTACTCAAGGAATAATGGGGGAAGGATTGCTCCAGAAAGGGAATCTCCCCTCCCACAGTCAAGAACCCCCCCCCCTGTCTCTTATACACATCTAGATGTGTATAAGAGACMKCTCAAAGGCAGCTTTCGGAGTGAGCTCCAAGGCCCCAGCCCTAGATTTGGAGCATTCACCCGTGGACACAAAACTATCTGAAGAAACGGGTGGGGCGGTGGGAACGCTTACTCACCTCCTAACAGGCTCATCACACCACATCTCGGTGTACGATAACAAACTGCACGAGGAGGCTCAATCCGAAAAGGAAGCGGTCACAGTAGAAAGGCAGCGGACAAGTTCGATGACCGGTACTGTAAGACGAACCCCGCTCACCTCAGAAGACGAAGAAGCACCCTCGAACAGGGATAAGGATGTGGAAACGGATGACGATGAACAGGAAGATCGGGAAGGTATGTTCAATACGCCGGAGAAGGGAGAAGATAATATGGAAAAACAGCAGAGGCAAGCAGGAAAAAGGGATATCCCTCAGTCGTTTACCTTCTCCTCCCCGGCGTTGAAGCTCGCCCAGGCTAAACATGCGAAGGAGCATCCATCTCTGCACGCACAAACGCCATCTTCTTCGGTTAAAAGACCAAGGATCGAAGGTTCTATTCGGCAAGTCCTTCTGAGAGAGGAAGAGGCGGGTGGTGGTTCTGAGGAGATTGCTCATAGCTCCCCTCTGAAGAGAGGGAGATCTCAGTCCTCCCGTCCAGCCCGACGATCCTTGGCGTTGGCTGATCCCATGCGTACGCTCTCCCGTGGGGACAAGGCAAAGGGCATGATCCCAGACTACCTTATCCCCTTGATATGCTCGTATGATGGCCAAAAGCGAGATTCATGACAATCATGAGCAGAGATGAATCCCTGCTCCTACCATCCATACAGTTACGGAGCTCCCCTTCCCCAATAATGATCTGTAATTTAATCAAGATCGAAATTTTGCAGAATTTGGGAGAAGTGGGATTGCTCCCTAAACCGAAGACAACACGCCACCTGGTGGACACGCCCGAAGGAGGTAAGGCACATCTATTATTTGCCTTTGTAGACCTTACTTACATAACAGACAACAAAGCTAAATGGGACGAACTTAAGATATATTGGGTA